GATGGCTTATTGTCAATCAAGAATCATTTATTCATATACTTTGATGAATTTTAACCTTATCAACGACTTGAATTACCATCATCAGTGGATTTCACTGAAGATGAAAATAGGGACAGTAGCATAGCATTCAGAGGAAGTGAAGAACAAGTTAATCTCAAGTGAATACAAACGTTCACCATTCACTGGATGAAATCAGAGGATGTGATACATATGTAGAATTATGGTCTACTATGATATTAGTACTGCTCTAATAATAGACCTAATCCTAAATTTGTAGATTTGTCATGATATAACTGCCTAATCTATAAGATCTTACGTGGAAGTCACATCATCGACTACACCAACTCACTGTATCGTATCAATTACCAATACATGATGTAGAACAAGGTTAGGCTAGAGAAAGAACGATATATTTAATATGAATAGAAGATATAAGGTAACATTCAGCAGGGACCACGCCTGCATGGCCGAGCCATGCCACTCGATCAACTCCAGTCCATTCAATTCATTGTTCGCGCCTTCTCCATTGTTAGGTATTTCCCCGAGTTAAATATTGAATATCTATTTTCTGAGTAGTCTCGTGTTCAGCTTTGTGGATTGTGCGGTTATTGTCCAATGCCACTACACTACTCTCCCACCAGAATCAACGTGATGTTGGTTCGATACCGAATTGGATGGGATCGTCGTGCGCCGAAGGTTACCAAGACTAGGAAGAATCCCCCGGGTAATGATAAGCTGAAATATAAATCAAAAAGAAGGCGGCAGCATCTGGTCGGGAAATACACGTAATAATTTTTTTAAAAAATCTGCCTTCATGCTTAACACACTTAAAATGACAATTTGGGTGAAGATTATTTGAGCTATAAGAAATGGGATTACAGTAATAATAATAAAACAATGCGTGTTAATAGCCGTTGGTTAATAACTTAACTTATAGGTAGTAGGTATTTTGTGTTGAGATATATTAAAAACAATCAATATTATATAGATGTTAATATTGGTATTAGTTTTGGTTTAAATTATGAAACCAACTAACAATTATGCCGGTAACCCGTCCATATGTCATTTCCAATTGCATCTGTATTAGTAGGCTAACTGAATGAACAAAAATATTACCATGGAAAAGAATTCCAACTAGTGTTCCAGTTAGTTTGATACGGTTTATTTAGTTACGGGGAGATTTTCTCAACCCCATTTTTACTTGACCGTGATAGAATTTAGTAATACTACTAATACACATGAATGTTCATTACAACAAAATTTAAATACGTGAGTGATGATTATATGAATTTTGGACAGATAGCTAGGAACAAATCGTTAAACATGAGTGTATTCGTAAGAGACATGCTCTAGACTCAATGTTCTGATCTGCGGCAGACTATTTATTTATATTTATACTTGCTGACTGATTGGGCATACAGGTTAGTTGCAAGTATGCAGTTTATCATAAGGCGGAATACGATTTAATTGAGATATAGCGGTTATAAGTTATTAAAATCAGTTAGGCTTATGTGTCATATTACTAAGTGATGTGGTGCTGCAAGATGTATTTGGCAAAGTAAGTTTTTACAAGATGATTAATAGTAAGTGATGCTCATGTGACTATCAGGGAGAACATAAGTTGTAACCAGGGGGAGTACACTCCCAACTCATGTCTATGATAATGGCTTGAACCTTAGTCAGTGTTGGGGTAAATTCGGCATTGATGTTTTCAGTTTACAGGAGGTTTGCTCGACTGCTTATACTGATTATTTGCATGCATGATTGTGTCGCTAAACCATCAATTAGACTGACAAGGTTTCGAGATATTTACTGAGTGAGCATCTGAGAAACATACTGTAATCATCTGTAGTGAATGAAGATAAAAGAAAAACAACACTGGTGATAATTATAAGTCAATTTGCTGACCGATTTTGTTAATAGTTTCATTAATTTTATCAATCATATTACGTGATTGTCAAGTCATGACAATGCTTTATGACGATATTCTGAAACTATTACGTTTAACTAGTTATAGTGTTGAATGAGGATTAGTCAGTGGAAAAATAGGTATTGTTGCTTTAGGTGATTCGAAATCATCAGAAACTTATAACGTTAAAGAATCCGAGACGCCTAATTTAATTATAAATTTCAATTCAGAAATATTCGTTTAGTGTTAATTTTAGTAGGCTACGGAGTTTTGATTTTAAACGTTTGTTTAACCAACAGCTACCTGGGGATTTAGTTATGTTACTAGTGCAGTTGATAGTACCTAAATTTTTAATCTTATTATCTAAACTATGTTCGCATTTTAGGCTGCTAATATGATAAACCAATCCATAAACCCGAATACGATTAGCAACAACGACTATGATGGGTTTATTGATAAATGTTAAAGGTGATTCAGATGATTCCTAAATTTAGACATGAAGATATAGTGCAACGTATGTGCGGGTCAGGTTAACAAGCAGGTTGTTGGCGTATATGACAATTTAAAAATAATGAACATGACCAGATAAATAAATTCCAAGTTAAGACTGCTTGTGAAACTTCAGGCAGGAATATGATGCGTTATAAACATTCCATAAGAAGTTACTGCATTTAACCTAGGGACACTTATAAATATATGGCAAAAGCAACTGGAAAACATATACATGTTAAGTACAAAAAATCATTAAATAAAATAGTTGAACTCGCCTGGATTATTTTTGAAAATTAGATTATTCAGTGGACGACATATATAACGCCATTCGTGAGTAGTAATGATCCAAAAGTATCCAGAATAAAACATGCAGTATGGCAATTAATTCCAGGGTGCTTGGTGCTGTTGACGTTTTTGCCACTCGCTCGGATCAGAACAACCGAATGAATCCAGATAATTGTGCGGTCACCATTGAACGAACCATCTAAAATGACCTTATGATTGCAGAAAACTTATGACTAAAACTCACCGTATGTTTTTAAAGAAGTGTCATCCTTGTTGTTTGGCAATGGAACTCGAGAATATGAAATTAAGCAGGCAGTGGTCGGAAGAAAAGATATTACATGATAGTGCATATTTTAAAACAGGATGAGGTGTTAAGTGAAGGAGCATTAAGAATTAGATCCAGATAACTATTTAGTCCTTGCTTACGTTGTTAGTCAATGTATATTTACGTTATTTGCATGTCGTATTTGCTAGAGCTTGATGTTTAAACAAGACTATGTCGCTGAGGCATGTAAATGCTATTAAAGCTTGTTAACGAACCATCAAAGCTAAATAGTTAATTTAGACGACCAGTTTTTACTATCGATTGACCTAGTATGTTATGAGAAGTAATCAATATAACATCACGACAATGCATGTGAGCATTAATCAGAGGACTATTAGAATACTGGGTTAACATATATATAAAATCGATCGAGAAAGTTTAAGTGGAAATGAGGATTAACAATATATTGTTAATCCTATTATAATAGGTTGCGTTTCTTTAGTTGGGCTCACCAATGTAGAATTATGGTCTACTATGATATTAGTACTGCTCTAATAATAGACCTAATCCTAAATTTGTAGATTTGTCATGATATAACTGCCTAATCTATAAGATCTTACGTGGAAGTCACATCATCGTCTACACCAACTCACTGTATCGTATCAATTACCAATACATGATGTAGAACAAGGTTAGGCTAGAGAAAGAACAATATATTTAATATGAATAGAAGATATAAGGTAACATTCAGCAGAGACCACGCCTGCATGGCCGAGCCATGCCACTCGATCAACTCCAGTCCATTCAATTCATTGTTCGCGCCTTCTCCATTGTTAGGTATTTATCCGCGTTAAATATTGAATATCTATTTTCTGAGTAGTCTCGTGTTCAGCTTTGTGGATTGTGCGGTTATTGTCCAATGCCACTACACATACACAAAACCAGTTCCAAGGCTTGAAACCAAGCCTCATAATGTTTGCCTTAAAATAGCAATTATTTAAGCTTTTGAATATGAAGGACTTAAGTGCGACCTAGTAACGGAGTACTGTATCTTAGAACCTCCCGCCACGTTGGTACTTACGTTAGTTTATTCTCATTTTAAAACTTTGGCTAGATGCCTGGAAATTAGAGATTCAGAAAAGTAAGCCAGTTTGTAGGCATACAATTTACTACCTACGAACAGTCAAGTTTTAGTGGCCCGGGATCGGACACCAGCTATATCCTTTATTTCATTGTTATTAAAATATACATGTTGGCTACCACTGTATAAAATCACCGACTAAGACCGCGTTAGTGAATCACGGAATTAAATAGGCCGAATATGAGAATGGATTTTTAATATGCATATTTCATGCACTTATTGATTTTAACAGGCAATCAGGGAATGAAGCGAGGAGAAGAAAGTGAAGCGAAATGACGCGTAGTGGAGGATGCGTGCGAGCCAACTTATTTTAACTAAGCGCTAATCAATATTTATAGTCACACAAAACCAGGCTACAGAGATAATATGTGTAAACAGGCATACGCTCATATAAAGACAGTCCATGTTGATAAGTGAATAATTGATAAAGTCAAAATGTGAGTCAAGAAAAATGGATAAATTTGCTGAAATAAGTTAGATGGGCTTAACATAGCAGCTGACACTACAAAGTATTAGGATCCCTTAGCGGTTGAAGTGGTATAAACAACTTCTCAGCAATTCTTCAACAGGAAACTTGGTACATTCTTGAGAACTTAGAACAAAATGCCATGATACTTTCGTTTGTTCTTGTTTCACATACTCAGGCTCGCGATCGGATGGATCAACGTTCAACTGTTGCTACGTATGAAGGCTCATTAAACGTATGCTTATCTGACCAATCGAATCAGCATCAAATTTAGAAGGAAGCAACAGTTAATGAAGAACTGTCCTATAATTGCGACTGTGAAATACCCATAGATAAATTTTACGAAAATATCATTCCACTAAATGTTTCATAGGACATTGGATTTGTTTAAAATTTCTAGTTCTATAACGACCTAGGACACAAAAGAGTGAACACTTCTAAAATGGCTAAAAAGAGAGGAGAGGTTGCATTGCAAGAAGAAATTGTAGACGAAGATAGTTGGAACGCGCTGCGTATGAAGCAAGGGCTAATAGGTATCCAGTCAAACGTTTCTTAGTTTTTTCAGTTGTCGATGTCTATCAAGAATGGTGTGGTCCTTGTTCCGCTGTTGTTGGTCTGTTCAAACGACTCAAAACAGAAATAAACGACGATTTATTGCATTTTGCTGTTGTAAGAGCAGATACTGTTGAAACGTTTGAACTATATCGAGGGAAATGCGAACCATATTTTCTATTTTTTGGAGTGAGTTGCCATATTTCATTCTAACGAAACAGGGTGGATGCCTTGTTGCAGCAGTAAAAGGAGTTAATCCTCCAGAGTTGGAGCAGTGTGTCTTGAGCAAGTTGAAGCAGGAACACGACGTCATAAGTGGCGAAGCTGAAAGGGTTGAGGTGCACTAAGAATTATGTTTTAAATTGTCCCGTAGATCCGTGATCCTATGGTTATCGCTAGAGAACTGAAAGAGGCGGAGATTAAACAAAAAAGGGAGGAGGAGGAGGGTAAGGAACTTTATTCTTAATCTTGCTGAAAAATCGTAATCAAGAGGTTGAACAGGAACTTACCTTAGCAGTACTGAAACCTGATGTTGTGCAGTCTGGGGTAGCAGAACAAATTATTAGAGAAGTTAGAAACCATTTTCAATTTGATTTTGCTCTAGCTCGAAGAAAAAGGTATTCAAATACTTGAGAGCCAAGAACATTTATTTACCACTGAAGAGGCTGAAATCTTCTATGAAAATGTTAAAGATCAGCCTTATTTTCAAGATCTTGTTGGATTTATGACATCTGGTCCAAGCAAAATTATAGTCTGTGCAATAAAAGGCAAGCAGGGCATTATTGACAAGCTAAGGGGACTAATTGGACCGTCGATTTTTGAAAAGGATTCAGAGGAAATGAATGAAACGTAAGCGATGGTCGCAAATTATTTGATGCCTCCTTTGAAAACTGACTGTTAAGACTGAACCCCGTACTTTAGTTTCAGTTTGGGAAGGACAGAAAGCCTGATGGCCTGTGTTAGTCTTGGCAATGGTGGTCTCTCAGTTGATCCAACTTTCTTTTGAAAGAATCGACGGATGGAGCCTCAACCACGTGCTGAGGTAATGAATTCCACTCGTTGATGATTCGATGGGAAAGTCGATAGTCAGTTGACAAGTAATTTGTTCTTGGCTTGTGAACTTTTTTGAAGTGTTCTCGTAAATTCTCTGTTTTGGAAGACAAGGAAAATGAGGGTATATCAGGTGCAAATTTGGCACTAAGCAATTTGAAAACTGTAATCAGGTCGCCTCTAGTTCTGCGATATGACAACAGGAAAAGGTTCAGCTTGGCCAGTCGACCTTCATACGGTAGCTTCTCTATTCCGGGAATCAGCTTAGTTGCCGTTCTCTGAACCTTTTCCAGAAACTGTTTTTTTTAAGCAGGGGCTGGCCGCTTGTATGCAGTACTCACGTTTAGGACGTACGAACACTGTATATAAAGTCAAAAACGTCTTAGCGTCGACATGGCTAAAAGCCCTACGTATTGACCATAACGTTCTAAAACCTTTGGCGGCTATTGCATGGCGGTGTGCAGTAGTCTTTAAGTCTTCTCTGACGATGACTCCTAAGTCATTATATGTCTGGACGACAGGTAGCTCAGTGTTATTCGTCGTGTATGTATCTGTACCTTGATGACCGATATGCGTCACAACACACTTGGAAGTATTAATCGGCAACTGCCAGGTCTGAGACCATTCAGATAATTTCTTCAGGTCATTTTGGAGTTCTAAGCTATCACCCTTACATTGTATTGTACTCCATATCTTTACGTCGTCAGCATATAGCAAGACCGATCATGATAGGAGACGAGGAAGGTCATTTACATACAAGAGGAATAGCACTGGCCCCGAAACTGTGCCCTGGGGCACTCCACTAAGCACAGTTCCCCAGCTAGATAACTTTGAGTTCACTCGTACTCTTTGTTGACGCCCAACTAGGAAGTCTTTTATCCACATAAACAGATTGCCTCCAATCCCGAAATTTTTTAACTTATATAATAGCCAGTTGTGCGGATGTAATTCATCGGGCCCCGTGGATTTACCTATGTCAAGCTTATTTAGTAGACCGAAGACATCGAGTTCTTTAATGGTCACGCTATCCAGTGTATGTGTGAGAAGATCTGTATGCGCTGATGGGAAGGGTGCTTCTATGGTGTATACATTGCTGAAGTAGTTTGAGAACACTTGAGCCTTACCAAAGTCGTCCTCCACTAGTGACGCAGCAGTACTGTCCACCCATAGAGCAGGAATATTTCCTCTTCTCTTTGTCCTTTGGTTTATATAAGAATACAAGCGTTTGGGACATTCTATGGATTCCTTAACAATGTTTTCTTCGTACAACTTTCTAGACTTACGGAATGTTGAGGCACAGGTATTCCGGACTTTTCTATACTGGGATTTAGTTTCATCAGTTCCTAGTAACCTAAATCTATCCCACATTTTTCTTCTCTTACGGAAAAGAATGCGAACCTCCCTAATGAACCATGGTGGGGAGTTTCTCGGCCCCCTTGGTATAGTCCAAGGGATGTGGGGTGTGGTAACTTTTAAGTATGAATTTCGAAATGCGTCCCAGGCCGTTTCAACTGAGAACTATGGGTCTATTGTCCAATCTACTAACGATGCTAAGTGCATGACACCTGGTATATTTGCTTTCCAGACGTTAGGTTTGGATTGGGCTGACGCGTGCTCGTGACTGACAGTTATATGGAAGTCGAAAATTAAAACTGCGTGATCACTTTTACCTAGGGGTGGCATATAATGAAGGTTCGCAACGTCATCCACATAGTGAGTGAGTATCAGATCAAGTAAGGATGATTCAGTGTCCGGGTCGTACCTAGTCGCTTCTGTCACATGTTGCACTAAAGCACATCTGATAACCGCATCAACTAGTTCCTGCTCGAAGGAATTTTCTGACGATTCAGTTCGCAGATTTTCCCAGTCTACCATAGGTGCATTAAAGTCCCCTAGGATTAGACATCGACCACTTTGTGACCAAGTATTGAGACTGCTTAGCAGGACTTCATTTACCTCACAGCTTGGACTGCGATAGACCAAACCAATCAGCAGCTCTTGTCCCTTGCATTTCAAGCGAAGAATAGCTAATTCACACGTCCCACTCTCATGGGATACACTGTCGATAATGGCAAATGGGATAGCATTCCTAATGAATGGAGCTACTCCCCCTCCTTTACGCTTTAGTATTCTGTCGGCCCTTACTAACGTAAAACCCTCGAAAACAAGTTCCATACTATCTATAGCCTGTGTCAGCCAGGTTTCTGTAACTGCGATTATGTCTGGCTTTGTAGAGTTAATCTGTACACCTAGTTCCGATCGCTTATTAAGTAAGCTCCGGACATTAGTGTAGCAGATCCGAAGCCTATTTAAGTGGCTTCGTGCTTCACCTAGAGTGGCTTCGGCATCATTCTCTGTCGAAGCCTTACGACCCGAAAATTTACAATTTTTAGGTCCTTCTCGCCAGCGTCTAACCTAAGTTGTACCTCTCTTTCGGCTTCCCGTCTTTTTACACTGTCTGCCAACGGCATGTCTTTATGGACAGAAACTACTGAACCCTTTAATTTATGTCCATTCCGTAAAATTAAGTTGCGTTCATCCGAAGATTTGAATACTACTTTAAGCAGTCTGGATTGATTAGGCTTCAAGTTCGCTGGACTGCCTGTCTGTACACCTTTAGCAAGGTGACTCCGGGGATATTTTGAGGCATGAGTTGATTAAGTAGCTGTTTTATCAGCACAATGTCATGCTCAAAAAGAGTTTTGGGTTCAGAGCTTTCGCTCTCCTTGATTCTATGAAAAATAGCTGATCTGTCGCTATGATCAGCTTTCGATTTTACGACTACTTTCTTCCTTACAACCTGTACCCACTCGTCAATGGTGCTGGGAGAAGCAACAACCGTTGCGTCAAACCTAGAGTTGGATTCTGGAGGGTTGTAGACGACCTGAGAGTCAGGTTATGTTTACCACTTGAAACCGATCGAGCCTTGCGATTGCGGCTTCTAGGCGTTTCCTGTGGGATCCCATCTGGGAGACGGGGAACAGAAAAACCTACTTTCCTTGAGCTCTTGTTTAAGGCAGGCCCCTTTGGAGACTGCTTTTCCTTCTTTGACCGGCGTGAGTCATCTACTATCGAACTAACCTTAGTTTGCCTCATGTCGATTTGTGTGTCGACAGATCGAGTGCTGTTTGACGTGTTCCGACTACGCCTGCTAAAACACTTTGCAGCATCAACCAGTGAGATGGCCTCGGTTAACAGTCTGTTTGCATCCGAACAGCACTGTTGACAAAGCCATACGCAACCCTTCTTACTGAACCGTTTGAAAGCCGCAGGCGTTAAGTTCGTGCAAACTTCGTGTTACCAGCTTTTGCACTCGTCGCACTGCATGCCGCTTTCAACGGGATAACGACAACCTGGACGTTGGAAACTGCTTTTTTTACACTGTCCGGTTATTTAAAAGGGGTCCTTTTCAAAAAGGAACGAGATGCGATGATACTCAGAAACAAAAAAATAATCAGTGACCAAAACGTGAAGAACTGTAGATTGTTAGGACCAAAAGTACTAACAGATACAATTGAAAAGGAGGTACTCAAGGGTACCAACGACAAAACTAATTGAGAGAACGGTAAAAACGGCACTCTAGTTGAATACTTTAGCTGAAATAAATCCAAATAAAGTGAAAAACAGTAGGCTTGATACGTAATAAACGATCAAAACAATGAAATTTACTCAGCGAGGAACAACACCACTGTCCTTCTTAAATGGCGCACTAGGTGCTTCCTTTGAAAACTGACTGTTAAGATTGAACCCCGTACTTTAGAAACAAAAGAGATTTATCTTGTACTAATGTAATAAGTAGTATCATTGCATATAGTGTTCCTAGTGGTGACTCTTCGATGAGTTCAATTTTTTTTCTAATAGTATAGCTGGACAAGTGCACAAAGATAGCAAGAATATCGTGGTCACATGTGAAAGTAATGTATTGCAATTAAGGTTATTTTCACAAAACGTTTTAGCGCACTTGTTATTTCATTCGAATACCACTATTTTTTAGAGACCATCTTCCTTCTCACATTTTACTCAAAATTATTGATTTAAAGGCAATGCCTCCCTGTAAATATCCTACGGTCTTACAGTTATAGGGGCTGATTTGTATTTCTTTTTGCAAGCGTGAAATACTTTTATGCATGCTTTTTAATCATATAGGATTTTCCGACAGAAATATTATGAATCATTTTCTTAGTTATTTTTAAGATCTATAACTGCAATTAGACAATACGTCTCTGAAAAAATGAATAATTGGTCACGATTTTCAAGCTTTTATCAGGTTTACGTGAATATGTGCCAAAGAACCAACAAAATACAGTTTGGGATGAGGCTTGCTTGTGTAGCACCATATGTTACTTATAGTGAGAATTTTTAACGAAGATAATACGAATAATATCTACTTGATGTTTAATCCTCAACGGAAATAATTATACAGTCTCAAGTAGCATAAATTAAAGTAATATAACGGAAAACTAATTACTTAAGCCTATTTCTGACTTCCATAGTATATGGTAATGCCAAAGAACTATATATTCAGATGCTTTGGTATTCCAATACAGTCCAGGTGCTCATTCACATCATAATAAATTATCCTCCATATTGTAGTGATAGTATCACCTATCAAACTTGTACTTATTCTTAATCTAAAACGAGCTGATGGTTTTGAACTTGCGTATGACTTGTGTTTAGAAAACTAACCTCTATATTTTATTGACCAGACGCGATGTTTGAACGAATCGAATTATTGTTATTTATAACATTTAAAATATGCACAGCCTATTTAATAAATTTGGTTCTGATCACCTGGTCGTGATGATTCATTTTCAACCACTGATTAAATGTAAGTTATTACATCTTATAACAGGATTGATTTTAATTCAATATGACATGACTTAGATTGTCCTGATGCTGATTTTCTGACTTAAAATTGATTGGCAAATGAAGATTTTGTGTAGAATAACCCAATATTGTCATGGTGATACAAGTTAGTGTAAAATAGATGGTGTTTTAAGCGAATAATATTGGCCTCCTGTCTCAGAGTAAACGTCGATTCCAAGATGCGATTACATCTAACTGAAGAGTAGCTGGCAGGACTAAATATGCATCTTGGATTTCACTGCTAACCACGATCATTTTTTTATATTAAAGTTGATTTTAATGGAAGGTCAGTTTAGGATTAAAATATTTAGTTTGGATAGGCTTAATTTTATTGTATTATTTGGTTAGATAGCTTCTGATCATGATTATTTTGAAGTATGTTTTACCTATCCGGTAGTTTATGTTGTATTAAGTACGGTTCTTTTTCTGTGAACCGTATCTTAATAAAGATGTTCTGTTATTTGAAATTAGATTTGTAATTGCTTTAATGAATGACTATCGTTCGGCCAAATCACATTAGTGCGGGAAGTCAATTAAAGTTCTTTAAAAACAAGATCCCATAACAAAGTCTTTTTTGAGGAACATTCCAGATGCACTGCAATTGTTACAAAGTGCTTGGTCGGAAAATGCGGCTTCATTCTTGACACTAATGAATAATGTTTTTTTAGGATAAGGGCAAAATATGGTACTGGAATAATCAAGAATGCGATCCATGCATCAAGCTCTAAAGAAGAGGCTACAAGGTATAGTATTTAAATACTTATTATCATATATAAATGGCTGTTTTTAGATTTTAATTTTCTGGTTATGATTAACGTATTGTTTATCTTTTAAGTATTTATGAATATAAACTAGATGACAATGAATCTTGAGGCTGCTTTTATGGTGATCTACGCGTTTTTGTGGGCCATTTATTAATTTTGAAATGTGCGAATTCTCATGATAGATTTTCTGTCTGACTCAACTCAGATTTTGTAAACAGTTAAAGAGAAATTATTAACCGATTAATAAAAATCAGGTAGAAGTAAGTTGGGAAAATAGAAACTGCGTTTAATTCGCCATGAACTTGGGGACGAATACAAAGTATAAAATATTACTTCGCAGTCATTGAGTAAATGATTATCTGACAGAAAATAATTTATTGAATCCGTTAAATTGGTATATACTTTTATTAGGTCTAGTTAGCTGTTGAAAGTTATTATACTGGCAATTTAATAACACCTTATGAAAGTTTAATAACTTCCAGTAGGAATATTTTGTTATTCCTTTATGTTAACTTGCAGTGTCTAGTACTATCTCAAGCCAATATGGGCTATTCTAGCTTACAGACAGACTGATTTATTCATCTTGAGTCACACTTTGACATTGCAATTATTCGCTTACTGATCTTAATAATTTTTGTATAAGCGCTCATGTGACTCGCTTATCTTATTTATTACATGTCTTTAGTTTATGTATGGTCATAAATTTTGCGTCATGCTTGGTCAAAAGGAGTTGGCACACTTACCTTCTGCTATCTCCTTTTCCTCTACACATTTCTCTGATTGGCCGTTTAGATTAATGAGTGTATGAAATATATGTATCCAATAATCATCCTCGTATTTTTCTCATTTATTCCGCTATTAACTAACGCAAATTAAGTCGATAATTATCTGCGAGGGTAGCCGGAATGTATATTTCGCCAACACCATCGTCCAAATTGGATTTCAATCAGTGGGCCACCTTCCCAATGCAATTAAAATGATGATGAGTCCGTTGCAGTAATTTTAAGACTGTCTTACAGAAGTTACGTTGTAAGACATACTAGTTTGTTAGTTAGTTGAATAGTGGCTTCTGAAAAGTGCACACCGCCAATGCAAATATATGTGGTTTCTTTGAATAGTTAACTCTTCGTAAAAAAAGAAATGCTTTTGTCAAAAGATATAGGTTCATTGTCGTTTATTTGCAAATTATGGGGTCAGTCTAGAATTCGATTTAAGAATTGCTTAAGATAACCTCAAAAATTGATGAGAAACTTTAATTTGCTAGGATAGGCCCTAGGTTAAATTGGAAAAAAGTAAGAGTATTTTATGTAAGATTGTGAACCAATCAATGTCAGACCACCATTGAAGAAATGGAAGCGCTGGACAGCCATTTCGTTCTAGTACGGGATCCCTCAGCAAACCACATCCATGATCCCGGACTCGAATATGAAAGATGGTTGCACAATATGGTGGATTGGTTGTAGTTAGACATTAAAACCGTTGGACGCCCCCTCGGTGGTCCAGAAATTAAGCGTTCGCTCAAGATCAAAGGTCCTGGGTTCGGCATCGTGTATACACACTGATGAGGAGTCTCATACTAGGACAAAAATGGCCGTCCAGTGCTTACAGGTTTTTAATAGCGGTCTGACATTTTTGTTTCATGATTTCAATCAAAACTCAATAATCTCCACAACCCTGTGCCGATAAAATCATCTCCTTTAGAACTGAGTTTTGATTTCATAATTTTGGTCTACAGAAACATTTGTGAGGAATGGATTCTGTTGATCCCGTTTTCCGCTTTTCTAGTCCCTGCCATATACTCTCCGCTTATTAAACTTGATAAGGATTGAATTCTTTGGTTTCTTGATTTAGCTGTCAACTGGATGATTACAGAAATTATATGTTTGTGCTAGACAGTTCGATATAAAGGTGGATGATTAATTATTGACGAAAGTGATAGCTATTTTCTCCTTCTAAAGTTTTCATTCCAAACCTTAGGTATTTCAGCCTGAGATTTTTTAAATCGAAGTTGGGCTTTAATGATATCTTTGATTCAATATATGATTGCTTAAAATATAAACCAAAGAGTTACTAGTTTCATGCTGCTGACTTAAGTAATGATAAGAATGACTTTATCAATTTATTTTAGAGATTTTATACAAATTAACTTAGACTATGACAATAAATAGGTTGATATTTATTGCTCATGCCTTAGTTAACAAACTTCAGGAAACATTATGGTTCACAAAATAACATAATCAGCTGTTCTGTAAGAAATATTATTGACTGCAGTTTTACTTCCTGATAAAAATATTGTCTCATTCCCTCTACATACCGTTCGTGTGATACTCAACATAAAGTGTGCATTTCCAGTTTCAAATGGTAAAATATCAATTTGTATTAGGTTCTACATTCTCGTTTGGTAAATGAAAAACTACCATATGTCACTAGCGACATTAAAAACGATCATTGATATGTAATAGTGAAGGTAAAATATGATTGGTCATTGAGCATTGACAAACAAACACAGCCTATTGACCATTAAAATATGTGGTTTCACCTCATGGAATTGGTTTCGATTCTGGACTCGCTGAGAATGATTGTATGTAATCGTGTGTAACAAAGTATTGTCTAACCTGTCCTCTGATTATTTATTCTGGGTCGTGTATCCTGGTTCTGACATAATGTGACTAGTCTGATTATCGCACTAATGTATTATCGTAGTATTACTTGAATGAGAGAGGAATATTGGGAACATTCATTATGTCATAGAGACTATTAACTAGTGCAAGAATTAGTCATGTGAATCCTGAATTTATCCAAATAATGTGCTCAATATAGGTTTATGCATTAATTGATTAATCCAAAAATGTAAAGCTTCTGGTGGGTGAGAGATTACAAATAGAAATCTTTTTATGTTTTTATGAACAACCTACATCTGGTTGCTTATATCTATACTTTCTCACGTACGACATTAAATAGCTTATATCCAATAGTCTAATATAATTTATAGTTACATTTTAATTCGTTGGAACAAATTATAACAATTTTAAGCGTTTGAAACATTTGAGTTAGTTGATCGTTTGCCGATCAAATTTGATGTATTCAATGTCTAGTCATAATCTAAAATGTCGTTTCAGTCTTACTTCATATCTATAAAAATAATAACGTTATTATTTAAGTTTATTCTTATTTAGTTATTTAAGTTAAACAATATGTACTTTCATCTTTCTTTACATATTCGGCAAAACAATCGCTTAAAATAAACAGAGAACTAGCGTTTTTCTACCCAGGTTACGAGCCGCCAGTTATTACAGTGAAACGTACCCAATCAGTTGGTAAAGGATATGAAGAAACAGTTTATGGCACTGGAAAACATGAAATCGAACGAACAGTTGCAGTATTACGGCCACAAGCTTATGAATTATATAAAGATGAAATAGTAAAACAAATTAAAAATGCTGGATTTACCATAGCGCTGGAGAAAGTTATACAGCTGACTAAAGAACAAGTAGAAGAACATTATAAGGAACATATGGGACAACCATATTTTGGGGAATTAACTACTGTAATGTCCAGTGGTCCATGTTTGGCTTTATTATTAGCTAGAGAAGTAAGATTATTATTTTTAAGATAATCAAATGAACTCAGTCATGAGAATTTTCATAGTGCTAACAAAGGCTAATCACACAATGGTTATTAAGAATAAAACGTATGAAGTTAAGATTAAATAAAAGGGTAGTGTAAACTTACACTTGTCTAAACTATCTGACTATTCAGTCAAGTAAAATCTTATGAGCAGATAACAAATAGATACAAGAAACACTTAGAACATTTACTCCGTGGATAATTCTAGAATCACAGAACAATCTAACCCACTTATCAAGCAGCTGGAGTCTGTCTGGTGGTTGTGAAATAAGTAAATAATGAGGTTCTGGAGAATTCTTGTTTTGTTTCTATGATCACGATATGCGGCAATTTAATATTATATCAATACCTTAGGTTGTCAACTGGTAAGAAAAGAATTTCTCTACTTACTCTATTGATTTATTCTGCTAGATAATCTGAATAATCTTACTGAATAGTTCATTTTGTTGTTATATATCAGTTAACCATTTTAAATTTATTAAAAAAGTTTCAAAAAGTTATATTTTAACTAACTGATAACGTTTCGCAGTCAAAAACCAAATTTTATCCTCTAATATCTCTATAACTCATTAACCAATGGTATTTCTGATCCGTTTTTTGTTATTTAATGAACTCTGTTTGGTTATTATTGTAATAGTTCAGTCAGTGAAATAAGATTTTATTGTCTTATTACCATGTAATAAATGTAATCAAAGCTTAGGATGTATAATAAGCATTTCTGGAAGTTATTAAAAATACTGTATTACATATTGGTAATGATAAGTTGTTATCATGGGAGTTCAAGTTAAGTTACACTTGAATATGAATCAGTCGACTAAAATTACTCCTAACCTATCAATAATAATCTTTAAGTAGCAATTTTAAGATTTTAAAATTAATTTGGACTGTTTTTCTCTGGTCTTTATTTAATTAAATTTATCTCTTTGTGATGTCAAGTCAAAAGTTCATGAAGATTAGACTAATAACAGATTAATTTCTAATGCAAATGTTATTCCAGCTTTACTTGAGTATTAAAATAAATTACATTATAGTAAGATTTTAATTCAACTCATCATTGTTGTTAACTCGCTTATCTACGATGATAAATTGGAAAGCATAGATCATTCTATTTTCTTTTGGTTTATTAACTTATATAAACATTATTATGCTTCTATTTTTCATATTTTCAATTAATCATTTTCATATCAACTTAGTCGATTTCAAATTTCATTTGTAAATAGGATGCTGTCGCTAAATGGAGAGAAATGTTAGGGCCAGCAAGTGTTAGTGAAGCCAAATCTACAGCTCCTGAATCATTACGTGCTCAGTTTACCATGAAATCGCCGACTAAAATGACCAGTGGGAAAAGTGAAGGAATCAACCTTATACATGGATCAGCTAACGATCATGAAGTGGAGAAAGATATTAATGTATTTTTCCCGGTCGAAAAAACAATTGCAGCGATTAAACCCGATGCATACGCTAATCGGGATGAAATTATTGAAAGGATTGAATCAGCTGGTTTTCACGTAGCAGCACGTAAAGAAACGACTCTTACTAAGGATATAGCTCGAAAACTATATGAAAATTGCTCTGGTCAACCATTTTACAATGATCTAGTTAATCATATGGTCAGGTGTGTCATATCATTTATCAAAAAAGTACTTTTCATTGTGAAACTTGGAAATACTGTTTGAGTTTGTCACAGCCTTAGTACAATAACAGTTGTCAGTAATTAAAAGTGAAATGCAGTTCACGCATTTTTTTTACTTTCTTTAAACTTGACTAAACTGCCTATGCAAAAATCAAAAATTGATTTAGGGGAAACGAAATACCCACAATCTCACCAGGGGTCAAGCCCATGACTTTAAAGTCTCAGATGGTCTCATATTAGAACGAAACAGCTGCCCACTTCTTCCTAGTTGTTAACGATATAAATATTGGTTGAAAGGAAAATGGAATAAAAACCCTTGATTGACATACAGAATTAGCATATTGGTGTAATAATAATAAACTTAAAATTAGATACTATATTGCTTAATAAGATGTTTTGTACATTTTGACCCAACTGTTTTATATACGTCTTCAGTCGTTTCCTAAAAGCAATTGAGGGTGACTAGCGAGTCAGTCTAAATCATGTACCAAATGAAATGAGTGGTTCTCGTGGCATATTATTTGCTGCTACCTTACACAGTACTTCACCATGCTTAGATAAAACCGAATGTCAGATGTACAGTTTCCATATCCCTTAATAGTATCTGTATATAACCACTACTAAGTAAGTAATTTCACGTGAAGTCAGAACTCTTTCGAAAGAGGGAAGACCAAAACATGCCACAAATCCATGAAATAACCTGGTTGGGATCCACGAGATGATAGTGACCGATGGTTAGAGACCTTGAATGACATGACTCAAAATCGTTTACAGTGGCTCAGGTGCATCCACTCTTTGTGTTCTCACATATTCTAATATTTCGAACTCTTCATGTCCCTTTTTTTCTTTCTCCGAATTTATTTCACTGGATTATACTCGTTGAATAATATCTTCGAACCCTAATCTTTCCGATTACTGCTTATAATTTTACTATCTCAACCACTACGGGATTTGAATCGACAACTGCATCTCTGTACTAATGTGGTGTGGCAACACAAACTGATGTACGTACGTGTGTGTGTTCTCCCAAATTTTGATCTCCTTATTCCTCCTTGTCTCTTTTTTTTTCTCCCCTCAAATTTATTTCACTGTATTATACTCTTTAAGTATCATCTCCAAACACTAATCTTCCCGATTACTGCTTATACTCTTATTACCTCTACTACTACGGGATTTGAATCGACCACTGCATCTCTATGTTAATGTGGTGTGGCAACTCGAACTGATGTACGTACGTACGAAGTTCTACGTTGTTACTGACTTACTGATTGATGTACGTACGTACAAAGTTCTACGTTGTCCCTGACTGATCCGTTGAAGAATTTTAGGGATCTGTTTTGAAGAATATATCATTGGTCAGATAGTGTGTATGGGGATTAAGTCCTCTTTTAAGTTTTTAGGATACAGTTATCCCTTATACCTCAATTATCTGTAATGCTAATACTAAAACAATTTATACATAACTTATTATCAAACCTTCCTTCTTTCTTCCATCATCAAATTTCCTTTGTCTATTTGGTCTTCTTTTTATAATCCTTACGTAACCAATATTAGCATTCAAATTCTCATCAATATTTTATTAGTACTCTTATTAAATATCACGGACCTTATCAGTTTTTTAATCGTATACCACAATTCATCTATTTAATAATTTATACCATCAAATATTATGATTTCCCTATCAACTTTTTAATGACTTCGTTTATCATTCGTCATTATTTTTACATGTAACGGTTTTATCCAACACCGTGCCACGCAGTCGGCATTGCTTTTATCATTACTGCTAAACATGGATATTAGTGTAGAGCTAAGATGTAAAATCAATTAAAAAGAAATATTTCTTTGGTCTGTGAATCTCTTTTTTAAAAGAAATAGACTAGGCTATCAAATTAATTCAATTTAACATATTCACTATTGGTGATAAATTAATTTACTTGTCCAGATGATCGGCCTAATACGATATAAGGAAATTAGTTTGATCCTTCTTAAGTAACTTTCTCTTACTGAATGATGAAAAGGTTACATGTAATGTCAGATGAGCTTTAACTCAGTAACCTGGAAATAAGCTCCTTGACCATTACTATATCAATTATAATAATCTACTCCATTCATTTTGGTTCAATAAATTAGAAGAAGTAGTCAGGTTCGAAGGAATACATATTATGTACAACCAAGTCAGTAAATTTACATAAGTTACCTAAGTTATTAGTAAAATTATCTAGGATGCTCATAACCTGACAATCTAGTCCTTCGCATGCCTACACAGTGACCGTACTAACTAATGTAAATATCAGTTACAAAAAGGTAGTAAACAGCTGTTATTTTTGCCTAATTATATCTGTAGGTTAATACGTCAATTCTTTTCTGAGAAAATTTGAATGATATCGAAGTATGTCACACAGAACTTGGTTAATATGTAAGATAAAACCAAAGACCAAGCTTAGCATTTAATAGTTTTCATTCATTAGATTAAAATGTTCTAAAAATAACGACAGAGGACTATGGTAGTCTCAAAGTACTGGTCAACTAACTAACGTTGCTAAGTTTACGAAAAAACCTTTTAAAGGAGTTTATTAACTTGTTTTATTTTATTCTTAGTCACTTCTCTTAACCAGGCTATCTGTTGATTACTTTTAAATACAGTGGTCAAACTTTGTTCATGGTTTTGACGAGAAGTAATGCAATTTCCGGTTGGCGGCAACTGATGGGACCAACAGATCCAAACAAAGCATCTGACGAATCATCAGAAAGGTATCATTATGACTTTAATTTATTTACGGTGATTGATTTATGATAATATAATCGTAAAACTTCCAGGGACAATTATCAACGGACCCATCCACTTTTCTGTGAATGAACTTATATTAAATAACTCAAAGCATTTGATCGCTAATCACGGGCATCAGCCAGGATGCTCTAATGTCTCTTTATGACTCAGAGCAAAAGTTAATGATTTCATTATCTGATACAGTAACGTGATTTGGAAAATACTAACGTTACTGGATTTTTATACTACATGGACCAGAATCTCACTTTGATAAACGGATCAATATCGTTTATAAGTAAACTATCGACTAATAGATGCATTTTATTATCTAAATAATATAAGATGAAAGCAAAGTTGCATTTGTATTTAGCGTTGATGATCCTTTTACCAACAACTGATCCAGTTGTATATCCACTAATAAGAAATAAGCTAACTTCTGAAATTTAGTTTCGTGAAGCTGAGAGAGATTGAGTTTAGTCTAAATAGATCATGAATCACTCAGAAAGTGTATAATAAATTTACTTATTATCATTTGAATTATTTTTGACTGTTAAATTTCATAGAGAGAAAATAAAATGCTTGTATGAAATATTTTCACGTATTTTATTCCTGAAAAGAATAGTTTGTAGTTTTGCGTCTGTATTTTTCACCTGACATATGGCTAAATTTTGTAGACTTTCTATTCGAATTTCTTAGGTTTGGAAGTATTTTATTTGTCTGTTTTTAACTTCCATGAATTAAAAAATCTATGGCATTTATATTTCTAGTATTCGTGCAATTTATGGTAGAGATATTCTTCGTAATGCAGTTCATGGATCATCTAACAAAGACGAAGTTCAACGGATTCAGAATTTATTATTCACCGGTATCGAAGCTAATGAAGAAAACCGTAAGCAAATCATTAGAAATTTATGAAAGTGTGTGACGAGTAGTAGTATTTTTCTAATATAATTTACTCACTAGCAATATCCAAACTTGTTCAAATCGTACTCTAATAGCGATGAATGAACCGACATCCGAAGATTATGAACATACGTGAATGTAATTTTATAATTAGAATTAAGCGCGCAGTAATGTACAAACCACCTACCGTTTTATACAAGTTCCACAAACTAATCAATCGTAATTAAGTGTATTCTAGAACTTACATTTGAGTTCCTACGACGTACATTATGATCTTATTTTTACAACCCCTTAGAATTTATATAAAAACCTGCAAAACGTGACTCACCCGATTGCAATGGCCACCTTGATGGAGTTGTCCGGTCTATTTATTGTAATGACACAGTCGAGATTTACCAGCTGGTCGAACTGTTTTTTACTATCATACCGTCCCAGAAGATTCAGAATCGATAGTGACTAGATTAAAATCAGTAGATTAAAGCTTAGCGGAGGAGTTCTACTGACGACTACATTGAGATGTGGTGGCACTACGGTTTTTCCAGAAGATAGTCAGTATTTTGAATAATATTGACTTGCACAGACAAAAAGATGGGTTACGAGCAGTGGGTTTTAAACATATCCTACACTAATTTAATCGTTGTGTTCATGAGTCAATTAAAGCTAGACCACTGAACGGACGTTTCGTCCTAGTATGGGACTCCTCAATGGTGCTCACCCACGATCCTGCTTACGGGATTCGAACTCAGAACCTTCAGTCTCGCGCGCGAGCGCTTAACCTCCAAATCACCAAGCCGGCCGGCATCCAACGGTTTTAATGTCTAACTCTAACCAATTCCACACTAGTTGCTGTATGAACGTTTTGAACCGATTGTAAGGTTTAATCAGTACAGAAAGCTTGTGTTTGCAAAGTTTTATCTATGGCTTTCCTAGACTGTTCTCCAAACTATGTATTGCAGTTTTCAAGATTAAGATCCTGTATCAGATCGAATAATGGGTCTCACTAGGCGAGAATTCGAGATTCTGTGCCATGAATTTTTTCATTACCTCTATGATGGATTGAAACTACTTATATCTATGCTAAAACCTGTATTGTTTATGACTGACGGAATAACTTGGAAACGTTATCATATTTCTATGGATCAGGTGAATTAATGAAGTCCTCAAAAGCATATTTGGGAAATAAGCAGAAAAATAGATGATTTATCAATCTCAAAAAGTTACTACCACCAAACTAGCCACACGTCATCCGTTTATTGACTAGATTATATTGTGTAAAATGTTGACGTACCAGCCATCATTGCATGCTTAAACTTTAAAGGTCACACTAATAACTTGATGGGATCAGTTTATTACTCGCCCTTTCAAACGAATACGTTTGATCACACAAATGATAATGACTGTTTGTAACTGTCCGTTGACTTCTCAGATATCCATTATTTGGCTACGAAGTTTGAATAATTAGTCTGCTGACTTCCATAGACAGTATAGTTCACTTAAAAAACCATTTCATGTGTATTTTGCTGACACTATGTATACTTGCTTGCTCACATCTGTTATCCTTTATGGAGCATAGGCCTTCAACCATGATTCTCCAACCAACTCTGTCCTGGGCTCTTCTTTCCAGCTATCTTCAAGTGTTATTCATTCTTTTGATATCTATCTTCAATTCTCGGCTCAATATGTTTTTCTGTTTGCCTTTTTTCCTTTAGCCTTGAAGATTCTAAATTAGGATGTACTTTGATGCGGTTTGATGAAAGTATAAAATTAGAGTCTATAAAATAAGTTTAATTATTATGATAATCGATTTACTAGTTACGCTAGTAAAAGGATTCTTTAAAAAGACAAAGCATAATGATTCAGTAAACAAGCCATCAGAAATTCATGCTCATTTGTGCATTGATCTCTAAAAAGTCGAATTTTAGCTTACTAATTGTTTACTGCCATGTTGATGAAATATTATAAAATTAAAGTAAATAATTAGATATGCTTCTTATTCCCTAATTATAATAAAATTACTGTTACATATTTGATTTATTCAGTTGATGTATTATTTAGACCCCTGTAATTTTCTTCCTGTCTTTCATTTAGAAACGATGTCGTCAAGAAGTAGTAGACGAGGTTAGTAAAGTGACTTTTTATGCTAATGGATAACTGAATTTTTAATGATCTGTCCTAAGATACTTGGAAGAATCTAGTAACATGATTCCTAATGAAATATTTATCGTACATACAGCTGAATACCAAGGTTGATTTAAAATCACATACGCTGATTTCATCCATCTTTAAACCTAACTTAAAATAGGTGATCGGAGTTCAAGTTCTTATAGTAGTGTTGCTCATCAAAGCGAATAAATCCATAAAAACAAATAGCGAAGTCGATATCAGATAAACACAGTGATTATCAGGGATTTAGATAATCTTAAGATCAATACTAAACACCGCTACTTACTAAGATTCCTTTTTAATCACTCATTTAATTCATTAGTGGATGCTGCAAATATTCAGTATTCTAATTTCTTAAAATAATCACCGTTATCAAGTAAATCACAAAGGAAGCTGAGAAATTAAGAGTTTTATGCGTTAATTAAGGCTTGAGTGAGTTAAAAAAAAACAAAAAGTACTTATTTTGTGATATTTCTAAAGTAGTTCGAGAGTACAAATCAGGAAGCTTACAGATGTCTGTGGAGTAAACCACTAGTTTCCATACGCTTCTTTGGAGGATGTTTTTACCACACTATCTAGTATCTGTAAAGAAACAAGATTTTAATGGATATTTGTTTAAACTAAAGGTGTTTTCCACCAGCTAGAAGACTCTGAGTTCATACTCAGTGTTCCGATAGTATCACGCTCCTTTATAGACCGAAACTTGTTTGTTTTTGTTATAACTTGTGGTCTATGTGCCCTGCTAATGTATAACGTAATGATACCGCCAATTAGAGAGCAGTGGATTATCAATCGGACCAATGACGCACGAAACCCGTATGAGTAGTCTAGAGTACTTATCGGTCCTGCTTCCTGCCTAGCCCAGCCAATTAAGTCCAGAACACCAATCTCAGCCTCTGCGATATGAATCATTTATTCCAAACACACTGGGTTTAAATACCAACCAGACAGACCACATCGTACTATAAAATAGGAAACATATGTACAAGATTTGGCCAAATGTGGCTGAGTGTGGGAGGTAGTAATTAATAGACAGGGCATAATTCAAGAATGGTAAATCGTATAATAATAGTTCATAGGTCAAAATAAAGCTCACAATAAGAGGGACATGAGTATGTATGGTTTAGTCATTTAACAATTATACGATAAAAATATACTCATAGCATTGTTCTATAAATGGATCCCAATAATTACCATTCATTATGCTTATCGGGACATAACAGTTTTAAACCCAGGTGGTGTCATAAACGTACACGACTGACAAGTCCCAAAGTATAATAAAACAACTGTCTATAGCTCCCTGATTTTTAGTGGATCTCTTAATAATATTAGTTTATGTTTAAAACTACATACAGTTGGGTATCCAAATGGTATCCGAATCAAACTATGTTTTCTTTAGATGTGGTAGATAAAAATTTTATGTTCTTTTGTCATCAATGATGATTGTAGTAGTCTTATATAAACTTGAACTACGACAAGTAATAGAGTAGTCAGAGCTATTCATGAAATAACTGACAAGCTTACATTGCGAATAACTCCAACTCTTCGGAATTTAGGTATGAATTGAGAACTCGTTTACCAGTTCACTCTTATTTCAGAAAGCAGTTGATAAGTTTTGAAAGCTTTGAACGTTTTCAGCTGTTATAATTAGTAGTCATTAAAGGCAATAGAAAGCGTGTAATTATTGAATATACGTGTTATTAATTCCTATCCACTCAACTATAGATCCATTAACACTGTTTGCAGTATACCCCAAAACTATCGACTACCCAAACAATGTTGTCACATACTCCCAAAACTAGTTATCCGACCACCAAGAAGCCTAATTAAGTAGTCTGTAGAATTCTGCACTGCTCGGAGTTAAAACTCATCTGATTATAAACATAAAGTAAACGACTGACCCACAAGTAAAAAAACATTGCAATATATAAAAAAGAGGACATTTATGATAATAAACTAAGTTTCAGGCTTATGCTCAATTCACTGTAATCTATGAACAGTAAGGGCGTTGCAATGGTTAATAAACAAAATAAAATAAAAGCTTGATATTAGAATGATATTAAAATTTCATAAATACACAGTAAGTATCTATAAAATGCGTTCCTAGGGGATGACTTCCAAAGTTTCGTGGTTTCTTGTATTCACTTCGTCTTAGCAATATGAATAAAGAATCTTTAAGCTTCATGTGAAGTAGAGGTTGGTTTATTTTGTCAATTACTAAAGTCTATCAAGAATAATAATATAGTAAAACCATTCAACGTAATTAGTCTGTTATGTCAGTTTATTTCTAAGAAATAAATGATGAAATATTAGAAGTAATACTTTAGTATAAATCACTACGAACATTAAAATGAATGCCAAATGAAAAGCGAAACAAATTTTCTTGCCTTTATTGGGTAGTTATAACCAAATGCTGTATCGTGAAGTAAATATTTTGATACTAGATATTATCGTTATAAGCTAAAACATACGTATATCTCTTAGCATAAGATAATTCTTCCCTATTGTACTGATAAACTTACAATTTCATCGGTTATTTTTCTTAAGATTCAATAAATGAAGAAATGGATATGGATAAAGGTTAGTTTGATATCAATATCTGAAATAATAATAATAACAATAAAATTTATTATAGCAGTTTCTTAAACATTATAATAATTAGTTATGATTAGTTTCATTGTTTATTTTGTAATTTCTGATTGAGATTATCTTTCTTAATAATGAATTCTATTAAATACATAAAGTTAGTTTCATGATCTATCGACGATTTGTTTCAATGAAGCTACTTAGAGAAAACATGAAATACAATATTGTGTTGTTTGTTTTAGTTTCAATATTTAGTTTGCTGAACGTTAAATCTGGTCAGTAGTTGATCCCTGAATACTGGAACGGCTAGTATATAATGTATAAAACATACTTCCATCTATTATTAACTAATAGTGTTTGATAAAAATCGCAAAACATTGACTAACATACTATGGCTTGTACTAATACGCTATCCTTTATACTTTCCATTACGTATATCTACAGTCTAGAAGATAATACAATACTTCCATTTAGAATGATTATCTTTTGGAAATAATGTTAAATTTTAAGGTTCACAAGTTGTTATATCAATCGGTATTTGTATATTAGAACTGAAACAAGTGGTGTTGAAAATAATAAATATATTTTTTGTTATAAATAACCATAGTTGGTTATCTATTAACTTTCCACCCAACGTTCAATTTATTTGAAACCATCAAGTCCAACCTTAGCACTGATACCTAGAATCAAAGTTGAACTAATTAATTCCAAGTGTTTCATAATGCAAGTAGAAGCGATATTATTATTTCAGAGTTAAATTATTGATTGAGATCATGAATTGAGGTTAAGCGTTTGCTCATGAGACCGAAAGTCCTGGGTTCAAATTCCTTATGAGAGATCGTGGATGTGCACTGGTAAAGAGTTCCATGCTAGTACAAAACGGCCGTCCAGGTTTTCAATGGTGGTTTAAAATCAATCAATTCATAATCTCAATCAAAAACTTAACAATCTTCAAAATAAGATTGTTATTTTTTCTCTCAATCAGATCACACATTTTGGTCAAATATATGATAGATCATTCTATATCGAGAAATATAAGTAAAATTAGTGCAGAAACTACATAAAATAATTTACAGACATTAAAACTGACATTGTCTAAACAAATCGGGCATCACTCTTCTGTACACTGTTAGATGACTTGATTACTTTCGATTAATACATATGTAAATTATGATTGTCATTACTTTATCATCACAGAAAGTCATGTTTCTTTGATCTACTTTTATCATGATATTATACTAATAGGATTACCAAGCATTTAAATCATTAATATTATTATTCGCTTAATTTTTTTAAAAATTTAGCTCACTCATATGCAGTTAAAGAAGAGCAAGGTAGGCACACCTTAGTTTATAACTTATATATTTAATGTACTTTGGATAAGTCACTTATGAAATTACATTTCAAACACTAGAATGCTTTTCATGTGTATACACAAAAACTTCTTTAGTAATTAGAACTATAAGTTGATCAAGATTCTACAGTTATAAAGATAACAATATTGTGTGAAGGATTTTGTGGATAATTTCTAATTTCTTAAGGAAAAGACGTGACCTATGAAATAAAGCGTTTAGTATAGGTATTAGCCGTAGCACTGGATGACAAGTTGGAGATATCACAAATCGACTGATATTAAAAATGCAAATCATTGGATAATAACCCAGTGGTTTAAACGTAACAGGTTCAACATGAATCGCGAAGGTCTACTGTGGGACTAACGTTATGGTCTTCGGTGTTCACTAATGGAAATCTCATACTAAGAAGCTACCATAATCGTCTTCCGTAATTATTATTGGGTTTCTGTCTTTATTTCCGTTCTACACGCCTTTGCATTTTATAGCTTTTGAAAACTGATTAATCATCTTGAGCAAGTTGTCATCCTTATTGATTGTTAGTTGTATTTCAATTGAATTTTAGTTTGTTATTTTAAAGATTATTTAATTTAGACTCCATTTGAATGTAAAACATTTTAGTCATATAATTTCATACTACTTAGATAAGTGATTTAACTAATTACGTGTTAATCATATACACATATATACTGATTAAAGTGAATTAAAACTAAATAAGGTCGTTAAAAGTAACCCATTCCGAAAACAGGTTTACGCAGGAAATTAGTAAAAATTGTATGCAATATTCATAATTACTTACTTATGCCTGTTACTCCCAATGGAGCATAGGCCGCCGACCAGCATTCTCCAACCCACTCTGTCCTGGGCCTTCATTTTTAGTTCCATCCAATTCTTGTTCATTTTTCTCATGTCTATTCCCATTTCTCGGCGTAATGTGTTCTTTGGTCTTCCTCTTCTCCTTTGGCCTTGAGGATCCTAAGCGAGGGCTTACCCTGTGACACAGTTGGGTGCTTTCCTCAATGTGTGTCCTATCCACTTCCAGCGCTTCTTCCTGATTTCTTCCTCCGCTGAGATCTGGTTTGTTCTCTCCCACAGTACGTTGTTGCTGATAGTGTCTGGCCAACGGATCCAAAGTATTTTTCGTAGACAACTGTTAATAAACACTAATATCATCTAGATGATGGCTTTCGTTGTTCTCCAAGTTTCCGTTCCATACAGTAGAACTGTTCCGACATTTTGTTATAACTGATGACTGCAAGATTAGACGCGCAGCGTATCTACCGATCGGATCAATGACACGTAAACACACACGAACGACGTAGAGTCCCGATTGGCCCTGCTTCCTTGTCTAGCCCAGCCAGCTGAATCCAGGACACAAGTCCCAGCCTCTGAGATATGAATCGATATATATTTCAAACATACTCTGTTTATATACCGATCAAGCAGACCACATCGTACCATAAAATAGAAAAAACATTTGTACAATATTTGACAAGTGAAATAAACATTGGTCAATAGGAAATGTCCACTTAAAGTTCAAGGACACCATTAGACTTAACATGATAATTATTGGTATATTTTTCCGAATATCCCAACACATTTGTATTGAAAATTCTGAAGTTGGTGTTGATTGACAATTGTTTTGAGTTCGAAATGTTCTTCAGTTGTAAATATTCTGCTCTTGCTTTGTCGATCCGCGCCTTTTTTTGTGGGGGTCGTTATGTTGTCATCATTTAGATCGGATGATGTTTGTTGATCGGCTCTCCACTTTAGTGGCCCGTTGATCTGACTCCCATTAGATCGTATGAATGTTTTTTTATCACCTATCCTCGTATATCATCATCGACTTAAATCGCGTTAGTCAGTAACGGAATAATTCAAATAACGAGAATGGACTTTGGAATACACATATCTTATATATAGAACGAATGGAACAGAACAACGCAAAACGACGAGCAGTGGAGATGGCGAGTAAGCCAACTCCCCTTTAGTCGAGCGTCAATTAATATTTATAGTTACACAAAAGTAAGTTACAGACATGTGATGAGTAATGGGATAGGAAGTGTACACACACCTACGCGCTCATATAAAACAGTCAAGATTGATAAGTGAATAAATAACAAGGTCAAAATGTGACTCAAGTAGAATGAATAAAATGAGCTGTTCGAAAGTGAGAGTAAGATATATGGGCTTAACATGATGACAGAAAATACACCTTCACATCTGCATCAGATCCATGCTAACCAGAAAAATATTCAAAACAAAACCTCACAATTTAAGTAGTTAAGTATATATAAGTAGTTCTCATCATAATCTACACAAATCTTATCAAATCGAATTAATAATTCTAAAGTAATCAGTTTAAATGAACATTACGTTTTCGATTTTTACTTATGAAGATTTTAAATGGAAAATCATATTTTCTTTAAATATTTGTATACATGCATATATGTATATGTATATGTATATGTATATTTATAAAAGAACCAATACTACAATCTGATCAACGTGTAGTTATGGGTAAGACTCTGTTGTTAATAATATGTGCACAAGCCAATGTAGATTTCCATAATTATACACTTTGAAGTTTTCTACATATGTAAATGCAAATGTTTATGTGTATATTCTTAATGGTTAGATTTGTATTAGTGTTTGTGTATTTTAGAAAATTATTAGAATTTAATTATTACAATTGACAAACCCAAACAAAGTAAAAAAATTTTTGAATTTTAGAAGCTGAATCAGCTAGATCACAAGAAAATGAAGAAATAAAAGGTAATAATTATTTTAAATTTATGTGTATACTTTTATTAATTAAAATGGTTAGTGTTTTTTTAGCGAGTTAGTTTTCTATGGGATGGGGTCGCTAACCCCATGCCCAATTCTCCTCCTTTACCCAGGATTGAGACCGGCAGTAACTCTAAAAGAGCTACAGGTGGAAAATTCGTTGACACTATGGAGTTCCTGAGAAGATTATCAACATTATCCGGAACTCATACGACTGATTACAGTGCAAAGTCGTACATGGAAGACACCTGACAGATTAATTCCAAGTAAGGACCGGAGTCAGACAAGGCTGTCTACTCTCTCCCTTCCTCTTTCTTCTGCTGGTCGACAGGATTATGAAGACCTCGATATCTGAGGGAAAACATGGAATACAATAAAAAACTTAGAACCAATTTGACGATTTGGACTTCGCAGATGACCTAGCCCTCCTATCTCATACACACGAACAAATGCAGATGAAGACAACTTGTGTAGCAGCAACCTCGGCATCGGGAGGCCTCAACATACACAAGGGGAAACCAACGTCCTCAAATACAACACAGAGAACAGCAATCCAATCACTCTTGATGTCGAAACTCTGGAAGATGTAGTATCGTTCACATACACATCGATGAACAAGGAGGTTCAGATGCATACGCAAGTGTGAGGATTGGCTGGCAAAGCAAGGACCGCATTCCTACAATTGAAGAACATATGGAACTCAAAACAACAGTCAATCAATATGGAAGTGAGGATCTTCAATACGAACTTCAAATCAGTCAGTCCTGTTGTACGGAGCTGAAACTTGGAGAACTACTAATAGAATCACCAAAAATGTACAAGTATTTATCAACAATTAACTACATGAGATGCTCGATATCCATTGGCCGGATACCATCAGTAGCAGCATTCTGTGGGAGAGAATGAACCAGCTTCCAGCTGAAGAGGAAATTAGGAAAAGACTCCGGAAGTGGATAGAATATGCATTACGTAAATCATCAAGCTGCATGACGAGGCAATCCCTAACTTAAAATCCTGAATGGAAGCGGAAAAGATGAAGGCCAAAGAACACATTACATCGGGAAATAGAATCGGATATGAAAAGGATGAATAACAACTGGAAAGGGTTGGAAAGGATTGCTCAGGACAGGGTTGGATGGCGAATGCTGATGAGCGGCCTATGCTGTTTCACGAGGAGTAACAGGCGTAAGTAAGTAATTAAACGTAATTGATATAATTCATAATATTGTAATGATTATATTATATTTACATATGTATTACAAGATGGTAATACTTCACTTGATAGTAAGTTATTTACTATTTGAAGTGAAGTTATAAAATTTATATTAGTTTAAATATTGACATTGTTATTGCCACATATTTGAATTGATTTGTATAAAAGAATCTTTTATGTACTTTCTTTCATGTACATACATTCTGAATTCTTGATTTAAGTTTGAGGACACTCTTTACTCTTACAGATATTCATATAGATTTTTCTTTTTAACAAACAATCAATATTCACAGGGGAAGTGTAAATGAGAAATGATTGTCCTGATTCGACTTTCTATAGAATTATAATTTGTTAATCATCATGACTCTCGTAACTATCGGTCTCCATGATTTCTTCATCTTTTTAAATTATTTGTTTGTTAGCCGACGTTAGTTGTTTGTCCCTGGAAATTTTCAGTATTTTCACCTATCCACTACTTGTTACAGCTGTTGCTTAAACTATTGCAAAATTTCTTTTATCAAACCAAACACCTTTATCAGATGAGATTATGGTCCTGGATTTCACTGCTAGCCACCATTACTTTAGTTTATAGTGCTTGTGACTGACGGCGATATCGAGGCTATTTGTACAGAATGTACTATACAACTATCTTACAACCAATTTCTATTATGGTTCATTTTGGTTAAGCCCTTTCATTAACTTACTTAACAGACAATGCTGTTAGAATAGTAGCAATCCCCATACTTTTTTGTACCGTTATGATTACTAGATCACATGACAGACTAGCTAAAATATTGATCGCTTAAGTATTACTCAGTGATTCATCCTCCTCCCCATGTATATATATATACACAAGTCATATGATTAGTCTTTGCTTTGCTTCATCCTTGTGCATTTTGACTATAAATTTGCCTATGTAATTGCTCATATATACTTGTTCGCCTTTCCGCTTCAAATTCGTTCCATGTCCTTATAGCTTTGTGATATGCGCTATCATCTAATAAATTGTAGCTGCCGCTTTTTATGGCCTTCTGATTTTAATCATCGTTGAGATTTATATTATAACGGTTACCGAGCTGATCGATTAACGAAGCAAAGCCACTGCAGCACATATGTCAATAAGAGACTGATCAATTGTAGTCTAAAACATCAATGGAAAGTTTCAGTTAACCAATACAAAAATGAAGAAAACACGTCTTCATTCTACAAGATAACTAAGACATATTTCTAATGTCTGTTGATTAAAGAATAACCATCAGAATCAAAACAAACCAATTTAACATTGCCTGTTAAGTATCAACCATCATAATGCTGTTACATATATACATATTGATATAATTTTTTTATCCTAGGAAATTAGACTTGAGTAAATTGTTACTAAATCCATAAAATCACTCAATCTCATAGTTTTGATCTCTTAGATACCTAGTTACAAAGCAGCTAATTATTTGCAAACAATGATCATTTTCTGTTATTAACTAAATTTGATTACCACATGATTTCATTTTTCTATAGAATCTAATCATTCGAGTTGGGAACAACATTTTCTTGACCATAGTTTTAAATTGTATTGATACATGAAAAGATAAACAATAATTCGATAATTTGATTTATGATTTTATTATTTCATGGTGAACGACTCACCTTTAAAAATTAAAAAAAACATGGTTTTTTTCCTGGCTAATTTATTTAGATGAGGAAAATATGTTAAATACACAGAAAGTAAATGATGAAGAAAATATACAATCGGAGAGGCAACAATTTACAAACTCTGATGATAAAATACAACATGAAGAAAATGAATTAACTGAAATCACTACTGATACAATGCCAATAGGAGAAAGTGTAGAAAAAAATGAAACAAGTAGTTTTAGTTCATCAGGTAAGAAATAAGTAAGCAATAGTTTTTGAATATAACGAACGGTAATGATTTATCTTTATCTTTATAAAAACTCATAGTTAATCAAGTTATTTGATGTTATGAAATATTGAATCTTATATTTGTATTGTTTTGGATGTTAAAATTAGAGTAGAATATTAACTGTCGATATTTGTACATTTACCATTAAATGAAGGTCAAAATCTTTTCATTATTAGACTATACTTCTGTTGGGAATGTTAGATCCTCAGAACTTACTTGGGAAAGGACCTAATTTTGTAGTTTTAATTTAGAAAATCTGAATTTCTCTGTTTTCGCGCCAAAGGCGCTCTTGTCACCTTCATGTCGTATTTTCCATTGGGAAATATCGTAAATGCTATAGATCCGTTGCGTCTTTTAGTATGCTATTTAGTAACTCTTCCCAAGGACGGTTTTGTAATGTATATATAAGTTTTGAATTGTGTTTGTTGTTATCGCTCGCTTCTGGCTGTTTGCGGAATATACTTCCCCATTCCAAGCTTGGAGTTCTCCCTCTAGTTAGCGGAGCTGGGACGCATCAATAGCTAGCTTGTTGGTCTTTGGTCACCGAGTCTTGTTTCTCGTTCGCAGATTAAGTGAACTCGTGATAGGTGAGGCCTTAAGTTCCTGGGTTCGGTCCCCGGTAGAGTCGTGGATGTTCATTACCAAGCAGTCTCATACTAACACAAAACAGCTATTCAGTGTTGTCTGGTCTCAGTAACATTCAACAATTCCCATAAAATTCTTATACTGATAGTTAGCAGTCATTTATGGGTGATAAGCAAGAAACTTTACATATGGTATTTTTGATAATTGACATTAATCAATAAAGTGTGCCTGGTGCATCCCTTGAGATTCTAACTCGCGTTACAGACAAAGAAGTTACCACTGAGGTGTTTATACTGAGTGGTAACTAATATTGTCTTTATTTAGTCCTCACTATGGTTTCCAGAAATGTCGAATTACTTATTTAAATAATTAGTAATGCACTCACTGCTATCTAATTTCTAGACCCACGAGGCCTAGTTATGTGAGGAATGAGAAAAATATCACTAAATGAATCAGACAACGAATTAATTCAGTGAAAGGTCAGACAAATTCACCTTGATCAAGAATAAATTGACATTAACATTATTCAGATGTATTGTGATATTGATTGTACTATTCTGCATTGTTTCCTCTGCACTATTTAAACTTGTGTTAATTGAATTCGGTTATTCATTTACTCTGAAGAAATGGCTTACATTCAGTCACAAAACATTGGCAAAAATATGTTTATTACTAACTTTCTGTAGATACATGTATAATCAAATAAATGTCAAATAAGCATAATTTAACGCGATATCATTTGAGAATATATTTACTGAAAAAAAAACAATGTTTCTTGGAATGGGCATCTCTTTATTGTAATATTAGTAGAACAATATAACTTATATGGAATGGACCATTATTGTACTGATAGATTTTCTTCTTTGAGAGTTATCTTTCCGATAAACAAAAAGGGATCATTCATTAATGAATGTCTATTTTGTCATATTGTGTACAAAACCTAAATCTTCTTCATTAGCAATAGAAAGTTGTAAATTGAAGGGTTGTATTGTTTTGATGCTGATCCGAAATCTATAATCCTTGTGTTTTTGATACAGTTGAACTTAAAGGTTGGGTTCGCAAAACTCAGGGTAAGTGAAACTGTCAACTCATATCATTTTCTATTACAAGACCTATAAACTAACAAGTTACAAAACACTTCACAATTATATTGTTCCGCTCAAACACTTGTTTGTATCATAACACTCGATTAAATTCTTCCATTTGATATACACATTTATGTCAACATTCCTGCATGAAATATATGTTTTATACTTCAAACTGGATTTTGTAATTTCATTACCAAATGTGGAAATTTTTCACAAAATTTAGTCACCTATTTTATAAACTCTTGTGATGATGTGCACCACACATTTGTTACACGTTATGCTTTCTTCTATACTTTTGTTATATATTTCATTATTGTACTAAGACAAACAACACCGACAATTAAGTTTCTTCATTGTTGTACATTTTTTCAAGCACAATTAGTGGGTATGTAAGTATCTGATGTTTGTTTACGCATAATGAATTGAATAAATTAATGATTTGAGATTATTTTACGTGTAAGTGGTTTGGTAATCACTCGGTTTACTAAAAAAAATATATACCCCAAGTTTAAACTATTTGATAAATTCATTTTAAGTCTAAACCTAACAACTTTTTAACAATAACCTTGTCATTTTATCATCTGATTTCTGAAGAAAACTATTCATGGTTTGACCAATAAAAGTAGTCTAGTTACAAACAAAAAATCAGTAAAGCATTCTACAATTGCATCTCCATATTTACTGACTACTTTAATTTATAATACTCAATGTCTTTTCTGTCAAATTAGTTTATTAAGATTCGAATCTTCGAATGAACATTCCTTACCTCTTCTATTTCTATTCTATTTAAAAACGAGCTTTTACTTAATCTACAATTAAATGAAGATTGGATGTAAGCCTATTGTTATATTGTTATAGGTCAAGGATAACTAATCAATTATCTAATGTTCTAAATAGTCCTGAATTTACTCAGTCAATGGATGAAATAAACAGTAAAATGAAAGTTTGCCACCTATATGACAAATACACTACTTGCTTTTAAAATTGATAAATATAATAATATACTACCAAAATCTAGTTTTGACTAGTTAATAATTACCTGAACTCCGTCCGGTGCTGGTGAGTGGCCTATGATCCTCCACAAGAGGTAACCGGCGTAAGTAAGTAATAATCACCTGAAGTTTATACCATTCTTATCCAGTCACTAATTACTAATTGTTGAATGTATGCATGGTTGTCACAGTTTAAACTGTTAAATTCTAAAATGTAATAACTCATAAGTTAGTGCTAAGATTTCATATTTGCTAATTAGTTGTTTGTATTAAATCTTATGTTAATTTTATCTTACAGATACATAAGTACTGAATCAATGGGAAAGATTAGAATGATTTTGTATACCTTTTTTATAAAAGATCAAATGTACTACAATTCAATTGTTATTTATTATAATAAAGATTTTTTCAAATGATTCTAGTTTGTTTTGATGAGTTAAGCACAGAGTGCTATTATTGTTCTAGTGTTTTGCTAAAAGAAAATATTTTTAGTTTCATCGCTTAGCCCATTTGTCATATTGTGTCTCATACGTTTTTTACTCTTTGTAAACTACTAAGTTTTGATAGTCAATTTTCAAATATTTATTGTTCAATAAACCTCATCTTTTAAATAACGACATACAGTTTGGACCATTGTATGGAGTGGAATCATTTGTTGATTTTAATTGAGAACAGTCTATTAAATATTTTACAATCAAAGAATTTAGTGCGAATAAGTGTGTTCACTACTTACTCAAGTCCCAAACATATTTCTTACTTTACTAATTTCTGTTACTCCTATTGGAGCATAGACCTCCCACTAACATGATGTATCCAATTCTATCCTACACAATCCTTTCTAGTTGTTTTCAGTTGCTATTCATCATTTTGATATCTGCTTCGAATTCTCGACGCAGTGTGTGCTTTGATCTTCCTTTTTCCGTTTACATTCAGGATTCCAAATTAGTACTCGCCTCATGGTGCAGTTTGATAATTTTCACAATGTATGTCCTGTCAGCAACAGCCTTCTGTGGGAGAGAACGAACCAGCTTCTAGCTGAAGAGGAAATTAGGGAAAGACGATGGAAATGGATGGGATATACATTACGCAAATCGTCAAGCTGCGTCACAAGGCAAGCCCTAACTTGAGATCCTAAAGGGCAGCGGAAAAGAGGAAGGCCAAAGAACACATTACGTCGGGAAATAGAATTGGATATGAAAAGGATGAATAACAACTGGAAAGAGTTGGAAAGGATTGCCCAGGACAGGGTTGGGTGAAGAATGCTGATGAGCGGACTATGCTCCTCCACGAGGAGTAACAGGCGTAAGTAAGTAAGCAATGTCTTATCCACTTTCAGCGTCTTTTCTTAAGTTCCTCTTTATCTGAAAGCTGGTTTGTTCTCTCCCACAGTAGGCTGTTGCTGATGGTATCCAGTCAACGGACACTCAGCATCTTACATAGACGATTGTTCATAAATACTTGCTCTGTTTTGATGACGGTTGTGGCATTTTTCGAAGTCTCAGCTTCGTACGATAGAACTGTATTGACGTTCGTATTGAAGATTCTAAATTCGATGTCGGTTGACAGACAGTTGTTTTGAGTTTCATGTTCTTCAGTAGTGAGAATGTAGACCTTGCTTCCCAGGTACATTTCAAATTTACAACCTCATCTAGATCTTCATCAAGTGTGATTAAGTTGGTGTTCCATGTGTTATATTTTTGGATCTTGCTTTTACCCAAGTGTATGTTGAGGCCCACTGCTGTAATGGCCGCTACTACACTGGTTGTCATGACTTGAACTTGTTGGTGTATATGGGATAGAAGGACTTAATCATCTGTGAAGTTGCATCCAAATTGTCCGTTGTATTCCGTACTTTCCTCAGATGTGGAGGTCTTCATAATCCAATCAACCACCAGAAGAAAGAGGAAGAGAGAAAGTAATCAGCCTTGTCTGACTTTGGTACACACTTGGAGTGCACCTATCAGCTGTTCACCATGCACGACATTGCAGTGTAGTCCGTCGTATGAATTCCGGATGATAATGACGATCTCCTCAGATGTACCAGAGTGTTGAAGTAGACTCCACAAGATTCTCCAATCCATGCTGTCAAATGCTCTCATAGTCAGTGAAGTTGATGTGTAGTGACGAATTCCATTCAACTGATTGTTCAAAGATTATACGTAGTGTCGTGATTTGGTTTGTGCACGACCGATCATTACGGAATCTAATCTGTTTATCTCGAAGTTGGGCGTCTACTGAATCTTTTATCCAGCTTGATAACACTGTTGAAAACTTTTCCTGGCACCGATAGTAGTGTGATGCCTCTGTAGTTCTCATACTTGCCAAGACCTTTCTTTATTATCTTAACGAGGTATCCTCCCTTCCAGTTTGTCGGCAGTTGATCACTCTTTTGAATCTTTCTGAATTGGATGTTGGGCATCTTTGAAGTTACTTCTATGTGTGACTTCAGTGCTTCAGTTGGTATGTTGTCTGGTGCTGCTGCTTTCCCACTCTTGATTTGTCTAGTAGCCATCCTGATTTCTTCGATCGTTGGTGGAGTGACAGTAATATGAGTGTTTGTGTATACTGGCTCGGTGTCTGGTGGGTTCAATGAGGTCGATCCATTCAATAGTTCTTCAAAGTGTTCTACTAACATGTTCGTCTGTTCTTGAATCTCAGTGACTGCTTTGCCTTATTTGTCCTTGACTGGTTGCTCTGGTTCACCATACTTCCCTGTTAGTTTCTTCTTCGTGTCACACATTTGTCTCATGTTTCCTACTGCAGTTTTTTCCGCTGTCGGTGCTAGCTCGTAAACACTTTTCCACTTGTCGGCCCTAATTCTCTTCATTACTTGCTTGTTTACTTCTATGTATTCAGCTTTGGCCTTGAATTTATCTGCTCACGTCCAACTGTTTTTCATTGCTGTCTTCTTGTTCTTCCTTTCTTGAATCTTGACCAGGGTTTCGACAGAGATCCATTCCTTATGATGATGCTTCTTATGACCCATTACCTCGTGACACGTTGAAGTTAGCGCTTCTCTGGTCCATTTCCAGTTCCTTCTTCTTTGAGTAGATCTTGTAATGCTTGGAACCTGTTTTTATGAGCTATCTTGAATTCGTTGAGTTTGTTAGTATCTTGTAAGAAGGCTGTATTGAACCTTTTGTAATAACGATTTTGAATTAGCACAGGCTGTAAGCGGCTGACAAGATCCAGACGAAACAAAATGAATTCATTCATTTGGTGTCGTTTGCTTGTATCTTCCTATTAATGTTTAGGACTACAATTGATCATTCTCTTGTTGGCATATATACATCCTTTGCGGATTGCCTCGACATTGCCTTAAATCACAAGCTTTATAAGCAAAGATGGATAGTGGCTAACAGTGGAATCCAGGACCGCGTTTCGTCTCACTTGAGACTCTTCGGCTGAATGTACATGCATCTCGCAGTTGGTGTTCACTCTAGGACTCGAACCCGGTACCGTTCTCTTCAAACGCCACCGCATTGTCTACTTAGCTACTGACTCAAACCCATACTGATGATAATCATGTACTCACTAGTGAATAGCTTTGAGACGGATTTCCTGGAGTTCTGTTGAGAAGCTGTGAACAGTGGAGTCCAATACGTGTTGACTAAAGACAGTTATCCACCTCAGATAATGGATGAATGAATTAATTGTTTAGAACATGAAAGTGTAATTCAAATGAAGTAGTTTTTATGAGTGATAACGGTTTAGGAATATTGAAGATAATTTCATTATGCATTCAGGTAAGAATTTATGAAAACTATAGGAAGATGGAAAATATTTTGAGATGAACTCAATAAGACGTAATATTTGAATGAAAAATTATCAAGAGAATTAAAGATTAACCACAGAAATTTTGAAATACAAAGGTCGGGTTATAGCCATCTATGCTTCTTTTTAATTCATGGGGAGAATCAATTATAAGAAAACACCTATTCATACCTCAGTTTTTTTTGAAGAACTAAAGGTCGGTCTCATAAATAAGTTTTTTTTTTAATGACAGTCATAGTTGACTTCAAAAGATTCAGAGGAAAATTTGATGGTTAGTATTTTCACAAGTATAAATAAACCGTGATAATGAAATGGAGATCATGACCCATTAGATAATCTGTCTGAAAAATTCGACGAATCTCTACTTCTAAAGCCTGTAGTTAAAAAGAAGCATACATAACGTAATCCAGTTGATCTAGTGATGCTAGTTTGATGTTGGTTACTATTGAAAAACTAAACATTCAGATACTTCTCTACTTTCAACCAATACATGGCTATCTCTGTTAATATGCTTTCTTGATCATATTAAATAATTTTCATAACAAACTTTTGGACGCAGAATCATCAACAATCTAATAGCCAGTCCCTGTCATGGGCCTATATCATCTAGAAAATTATTGAAAACCACTGAGGATTTGTTTCGCCCTAATTTATAGCTTCTCAACAACGCGTATTTTTAATCCTGTATAAATTGTGCTTGTGGGAATTAACTTCTCCAAATGATCTTAGTTCATCATTAGAACCGTTTTTATAATAAATAAATCCCCACAAACATCAAATTGAATGGTGTTTTTATGTTTTGTTTTCTTAAAGTAGTTTCTGGATTAGTCATAAAGTTAATGCACCGATTTAAATATGCATACGGAATTAGTTATATTGATATTTATATTATTGAATACAGTATCTTCATTAGTTTCTTATTTGTCCGTTTAAACCATCTTTTAATGAAATTAGCATCTATAAAGCCCTTTAGATAATAACAGAAAAAGAATATTTTGAATTTCATTACTAATGTAATTTAGTTTCTATAATGAAACTTTACTGAAATAAGCATATAGTAAAATAATCCATAACTGATATTCATCAAAATTAACAATATACCGTTTTTACCACTGTAGATTCATTAACAAGTTAACGTCAATACTGATCATCTTTTAGTGAATACACTGAATTCATAGTTATATACTCTTCATTGTTTAAATGTTCTTCTAAGCCAATTTGTGGATATTTCAAAGATAATAATGTACGACATTTTATGCAGATATTTCCAAGATCCAGCTGACATATACTACATGCATGTACATTTTCAGAATATTGAGAAGCATTCTCTATCGGTTTTTGTTTTTTTGATGGATAACATCCTTTACTGCACCAAAAACATGTAATACGTTTGATACTAAATCCTGCTAGAACACTCTTTGTTTTTGGAATATCTGTAAAACAACGACCATGTTTATCAATAGTGTCTCCCGATGTATACTTGAAGTCATTAAAAAGTTTACGATTATTTCGTATATGAGCGCGTAACCATG